AAGGTCAGCAGTTCAAAACTACCAGCTGCTCCGCGGGAGAAAGATGTGCCGACTCCACGGCACATAACAACTACAACATATACATATGTTAAGGACAAATCTGTGAATCATCATGTTCTCTATCACTTGAGTAACTTCGTGTCCTGTTTTAAATGAATAATCACATTTTGTCATTACTGTCTTTTGTGTCAATTTCCTTCTTCTGACAATAAAAGACTGGGGTTTAGCTAACTCTGTATGCTAGCTTGCCTGACAGCTTGCGTCAAACTTGTGTGTCTGTCTTCTTTGTGTCTAATCTATATCTTTCGCCTACCAGATCTCCCACTCTCGTTAAAAACCACGCTTCGTCGAGGCACCCCTTTGTCGAGGCAGGACCCCGACATAGGACCCCCGACAGATATTAATGATATTTTGCAATAATTTCTGCATTTCTGCTGGTTTACTTTTCTTTAGAATGGCAAAAGTATGGATTGCTTCCAGTAGGTTGTCCAGTTAGCTGTCTTCCAAGTTTCTGGGGATAGACTAGTGAGTGCTTCCAGTACTTATTACATCAGCTAGTTGAAACTGATTTTAGGTATTCCATCCATTCCTGGATCCTTGTTTTTCACTAATGCCTTCAGTGCAGTTTGGACTTCCCCCCTTCAATACCATATATTCATGTTCAAATGCTACCGCCTAAAATGGCCGATATCAACCAATTCCTTTTGATACAGTGACTCTGTATTCCTCTATCTCCTTCTGATGTTTCTTGTATCAGTCAATATTTTGCCTATAAAATCCTTCAATATGGCAAGGTTTCAATATTTTTCTTCAGTTCTTTCAGCTTGAGAAACACTAAGCAGGTTCTTCCCTTTGGGTTTTATAAGTCCTGGTCTTTGCCCATTTCATTATAATACTTTGTCTTCTCAAGCTGCCCTTTGCTCAGCTCTTTTACTTTATTATTTCTTCCATTTGCTTTAGCCACTCTATGTTAAAAAGCAAGTTTCAGAGTTTCTACAGACATCCACTTTGGTCTTTGCTTTCTTGTCTTTTCAATAACCTTTGGCTTTCTTTATGTAGGATGCTTCTTGATGTCATCCCACAACTCTTCTGGTCTTTGGTATTAGTGTTCAATGCATCATCTGTTCTTGAGATGGTTTCTAAATTCAGGTGGGATGTACTCAAAGTTGTATTTTGGGTCTTGGAGACTTGTATTAAAATTTTCTTCAGCTTCAGCCAACACTTGCATATGATAATTGACTCTGTTCCACAGTTGGCTTCTGATGTTGTTTTGGCTAATGCTATTGAGCCACTTCATCATCTCTTCCCACAGATGTAGTCAATTGGATTCCTGTTGTAAAAAGGGCACCATGCCATCCTTCTCAGAGCACTGTCTGCTCAGTTGAGTCCGATAATTCATTGCAATTACATTACTCAGAACTCAGACACCAAAGTCATGGGGTTCATTAGGGAAGTTTACAGGTTAGAACTCAAGGTCAGAAATGTTAAGGTCAAGACAACTTGGACTCAGTTGTGCCATAGACAGGCCTCTCTCTCTGGCCATTGGCTCTTGATCTGGGCCTCTGCTTGGGCAATGTAACCAAGCTCTTTTAGGGTTACTGATAAATGTCCAATGGGCACTCCACTACGATATAAGCCTTAGCCTGAAGACACCCAGCTCTAGTTCTGTGGGTCAGCAAACCAAGCTCCCCAATTAAGTCTGAAGGCATCCCTCTCTACAAGTGAGCCTCTTGCCCAAAGGCCCGCTGCTTTACATGCTCCTTGGAATGGGAATCCCACCACTCCATCTGGTGCTCTGGCTCTTGGTTCTGCTGAAGCTACTCCTCTGCTACTCCTCCAGCACCACAGTTCCTGAGTTGAGGAGGTTAGATGTGTAGGGATCTCAGAATCCAAAGGGCACACTCTACTCCTGTACCTGTGTAATCCATCTGGTAACACCCACGTGTATAGTCACCATTTCCGGTGCTTTTAAACAGGCAATTGCAATCAGTAAACTTTGGTTTTACAAAATCCTATCATGTAACCTCCAGCTTCAATTCTATCACCAAGGCCATACTTTCCAACTAGACAGCCCTCCCTCTTTGTTTCCAACTTCTACTTTACAATGACCAGTAAGTATCAAAGCATTTTGATTGCACGTTGGACCCATTTCAGACTGAAGAAGTCGGTAGAATTCTTCAGTTTCATCATCATTGGCTTTGGTGGTTGGTGCAAAATTTTGAATCATAGTTGAATTAAGTGGACTTCCTTGTAGGTTATAGATAGTCTCCTATTATAGACAGCATTGTACTTCAAGACAGATCTTGAAATGTTCTGTTTTACAATGAATGTGACATCATTCCTCTACAGTTTGTCATTCCCTGCACAGTAATTATATGATGGTCATATTCAATCATACCTATCCATTGCAGGTCAATAATTCCTAGAGTAGGGAGGCAGGTGGCTTTATAGAAAAAACACTAGACTTCAAACCACTAATTCGGTGCTTTAAGCCCACTAGCTGTTCTGCTGGAAAAAAATAAGTTTTTCTGTTCCCACAAAGTTTTACAGCCTCAGGAACCCTAAACATGGTCGCTGTGAGTCAGAACAGACTCAACGGCACTTAACAACAACAATACCTAAGATGAAGATCTTCATACATTTCATTTCATTTTTGACAGCTCCCAATTTTCCTAGATTCATCATCTGTTCATTCCACATTCTAATTACTAAGAGATGTTTGCAGCTTTTTCTTCTTATTTTGAGTTGTGCACCATCAGCAAATGAAGGTCCTGAAAGCTTTACTTTATCAATTTTCATTAAGTCAACTCTACTGTTTGGAGGCCACCATTTGCTATCAAGATCAATGCTGTCTGTGATAGGATAACATCTGCATATCTAAAAAGAAGACCAGTTAATACCACTATTATTCAAATTTACGCACCAACCACTAAAGCCAGTGATGAAATTGAGCTCAAGATATACTGATAATCACTGGTGATTGGAATATGTAGGTTGGAAGTAGAGAAATGATCAGTTGTCTGAAAATAAGGCCTTGGTGATAGAAATGAGGCTGAGGCATTTTGCAAGACCAATGACTTATTCATTATAAAAACCTTTCTTAAACAACATAATTTTTGTTGTTTCAAAGCAAAGGTTACTAGATTTTATAGTTAAATTCTTACATTGTAAATACAATTGCTTAAATTAAACAATAACATGTACTTCCTTTTATGCTTGATATCATGCACTTCATTTCAGTTTAGCTCTACGTTCTTTAACCATAAAAGACTTAAAAATGTAAGTAAACCTTAAAAATTGTAAGTTGTTGTTGTTATGAAGTGCCGATGAGTCGGTTCCAACCCATGGCGACCCTGTATAGGGTTTCCAAGGAGTACCTGGTGAGCTTTAACTGCCGACCTTGCAGTTCAAACTGCTTTTTGCAGTCTGGCGCATTAACCCACGGCGCCACACCAGGACTCCAAAAATTTTAAGTAAACCAAGTTAAATGTTGATCTTGTTATTTAAACCTAGATTTTATTAATAATACGTAAGCCTTCTCTCATACTCCTTCCATTGGTTCTCTACTTTATTCCAGGAAACCAAAAGAACTACAATGATTAGACTACAAAAGAAAACAGGATGTAAAACAAGTACCGGAGCCCTCAGTCTTCACTCCTTTAAATAATCTCACTCAAATCTCACATAAATTACTTTAGATACTTCTTCTAATCATCTTATGAAAGTTGGTAATCATTTTAACATATACATTTAAGGGGAGAAAAAAAATAACCATTCACTTTGAATTCTACAGAAACTGAGTCTTTTGTTTTACATATGTTAAATCTACTATATTAATAGAGAATGTAGTATTATTTCAACATAACAGTTCAGTACATAGAATTTTAAAACACATTCAATGAAGGCCTCTTACTTTGAAGGAATGGCAGGTTAGTGTTCAACTGAGAGGTACTAGCAGTAAAAGAGAAGGCGTTTTCTTGAGCCCTGGGGCTCCAGGTGGGTACAGCTGCCACACCATCCTCTTCAAGCAAAACAGCAATCACCTTCCAAAGACAAGGGATTATGCTTTCATCAAAAAATGTCAACTGTATTATCTTTTTAAAAAATGTATTATTTCATTTTATGTATTTCTCTAAACAACTGCTTAACTCTAAAAGGATTATTCTTCAATAAAAAAAATTTCATATGTATTATCTTTTAAAATATTCTTTCATTGTATGCATTTCTCTAAACAACTGCTTAACTCTAAAACATCAGAACTGTATAAAGAAGTCATATTGTGTATGGGAAATTAATTTGTTCTGTGAAATTTCACTTAAATTACAGTAATTTTTTTTTTAAGTTTAATTTTTCTTTCTGCAAAATAGTAGAAACTGACAGCTGAAGTTTTAGTAACAGAAGCTCCACAGAGGGCCATTATTTAATGTCAGACATAAATTTTTATAATAAATACTTTGTTAAAAATGCCAGGGGAAGGAAAAGGGCTGAGTATCCAACTTTTTTTATGTAAATAGGGAAGTATAAAGAAACGTCAAGCACATCCCATCTCTGCTTTTCTCACTGCATAAAGATCATATGTAAACTATAATTCACTATATACTAATGTAGCATGGTGATTTTTAGAATGGCAGCAACAGTAATGGAGAAAAAAAATGGTACATCTAGGAGAAATATTAAATGGAAAGTAGACAGGAGTTGATGTAAGACTGGCTGGCGAGAGTAGAGGAGCTTGTGAAATCAGGCATCCTAGCTCCAATCTGACCCTGGGTCTGTTTTCACTTCATTTCCTAAGTTTCTGCCTCCCTTCATCCCTCTACACTTCAACTTGGACCCAGTGCTCTCTCAGTACCACAGTCACTCATACTAAAACATGCTAGTTAAACACTTTTAAAAATATGTGACAGCATGCAAAAAATAGTATTTATAATCCACAGGATTCCTACTTAATAGCAGCACTGAGAATGAATGTATCTATGCTAATAACCATTACCACTATGTACAGAGATTAAGTTTTGAGAGAATGATTTTCCCAAGTCCATATATTAGGGTTTATCAATGTTCTCCTCTATTTATTGATACTTTAAATTCTGAGCTTGTGTAAAAATAATAATTAGACAATTGAGAAATCTGAACCGTGATTTGATATTTGATGATACTGAGAATTATTCCTAATTTTGATTCCTTTTCTTTTAGTCATCCTGCTGAAATATTATGGAGGAAATAACAGGATGGTTGGGGTTTGTCTCAAAATAACTGAAGTGGTGTGTGTGTGTGTATGAGTGGATGGGGAATGGGGCTCAGATGAAGCTAAATTGTTCCTGAGTAGACAGTTAGTTATTGACGCTAAAGCTGGGAAATGAAGCATTGAGATTCACTATACCATTTCCTTTTTCTTTTATGTATTTTTTAAATCTCCATAATCAATTTTAAAAATCATGAGCTTATTAGTTTTAAATGCCCTAGATGTATTCTAACCTCATCAATCTAATATGTCTAAATTATTTTTGTCTATTTTTATTTTAAAACATAAGCAATTAATAAGGTATAAAATCTAATTAAGGGTATTATCATTGATATGCATTGACTTGGTATCATTTTGCATGCAAGGGCTTAATGAAGGAGAGTTTATAAGAAAATATTTGAAATGAGTAACTGATTCTATTTAAGCTTACAAAGGCTATGAGACTTCAGCAGTCTCTGTATTTCTATGCATAATGAGACTTTAAGCACTTATTCACAAAATAGAACATAGAACATACCTGACAAGCAGCTCGGAGAAAGTTAGATAATCTGGGGGTATCAATCTTTGGTACAATTGTAGCATCAGACACAGCTCTATTTTGGCTACCTAAAAAAAAGGAGAGAAAGGAGAGTTCTATAAAATCAGCAATGCAGACTCCAACACTTCAAGTATTACATACACAATGTACAGTTCAAAGGAGTGTTCTAAATAAACATTAAAAATACTAAGGATATGAAAGGATATGCAGACAAGCCTGGAGCAGCTAGAGGAACAGAAGATACTTCTTGAAAGAATGACCAACAGGAAAAATAAAAAACAAAAATGGAAGTCTGACTGGCTGGCTACTACAAGAACAAGAAAGTTGTTTGCTGGGGAGCCATCAAGGCAAGCAATAAAGTCCCTTCAAGACAAACGCCCCTCCAAGATTGGAACTCAAAGGGAACACATGAGCAGGCATGTAATCTTGCTGGCGACCATGTTGGTCTACTGGTGACTGGAAGTGGGAGAAAGGCAGCAATGAAGATATGGGCTGAGTTTGAGCACATTCCATAGACTTCTGTTGACCTTGAGATGAGAGAGAGAAGAGGAAGGGCTGGTTGGTCCAAAGTGTGGTGAAACCTGGGGACTCCTAAGCCCATAGACAAGGACCTAGCCATGGAGGGTTAGAGTCAAGAGTGAAGCATCCAGCCGATACGAAGTAAGGGGAGATGCAGCACAAGAACACCCAAACTTGCAGATAGTACCCATTTGACCCAGCTTTGATGGTTTGATAGTCAGAACTCGACTAGAGGAAGATTAAAAAATGTTGATAAAGGAAACAAATGTAAATTGCTACAATTTGATGAACTTGACCTGTATTTATGGATGTAGTAGCTCAAAATACCAACTGAGAGGGAAGAAGACTTCATATCAAGGATCAAATCTATCCCGTCTGTACACATGGTTGATAAGGACTGGCAACTTAGACACTGGCTACCTAAAATGGGGAGCTCTGGTAGCGTAGTGGTTACGAACTGGGCTGCGAACCTTAAGGTCAGCAGTTCGAAACTACCAGTCGCTCCGCGGGAGAAAGATGAGGCTTTCTACTCCCGTAAAGATTTACACTCTTGGAAACCCTGTACAGGGTCGCTATGGGTCGGAACCGACTCGATGGCACTTCACAACAACAACAACAATAAAGATAAGAAGTGACCAGCTTACAAGTTTTCAAGAGGGAGTTTAGTTTCAGAGTGTACAGGGGAAGGTAGAATCCCCACTGAGTAGTTTTCATCTTGTGTAGATGTGTCTGGTGAAAGGAAATGTGGATAAAATTCTTAGGATTCAACAGTGAGTAACTGTTATCATGATAAATTGATTGTCACACTATAAAGGTAGAATTTTTGTAACATAAATGGGGGGAGGAGCTAACCTTACATTTCAAGAACAGAGGACCCTAGGACCATCAAGGGAGAAGAGTGCAAGCAGAATGTGGGACCTTATCCAGAGAAGCAGCAACACCAGACATGGAGGCAGAGATGATGACATGAAGAGATGGAGCAGCTGAGGACTCTTGACTTATGGAAAGAGAAAGGCTGTATGCTGGTGGGCGGGCGTAAGGCTTGCAAAATGTGCCCTTGGGTTTAAATGACTATATATTCCTGAGTGTTTTTGTGAACCCACAGAGGGAATAGAAGTGAATACTATTGAATGGTGATGCATGGAAGGGATTGTAATCATTGCAGTGAAACAAAATATGATAGTATGAATGCAAAATTGATGCTCTCCCATGTAAACTACCACTCAGTTCACAACAGAAGCTTAAAAAAAAAATACTAATGGAAACAGAAAACACAGGGAGAAAGTAGGATAAATCGTGTAACACTGAGATGAAACAAAGTGTGTGTGAATTGTTGGACTGATGATCTGCTCTGTAAACCTTCACCCAATTCATAACAAAAAGTAAAAAAAAAAAAAAAAAGAATACTGAAGGAAAACGAACTTTAAATTTAATTCTCTAGCTGCTCCATGGAAGAAAGATGAGACTTTCTGCTCCTGTAAAGATGACAGCCTCAGAAACCCTGTATAGGGTCGCTGTGAGGTGAAACTGACATGAGGACACACAGCACAGTTACCACCACCAGATCCACTAGTGATATTTTCCAAAAAGAATTACATTTTGTTTACTACTAAGTCATAAACTGAATGAAGCCTTCTTGAATGCATTAGGGGAAATAGTTAAAGAAATGCAGTCAAATTATTATGAAAGTATATCAGTCTGAAATTTAGGTATATTATTTTCTTAAAGTGAGGCTTACCTGAAGAAAGGGAGTAGTAATATCTTGGCCTTTTTGGGATAATTCCTCAAGAAAAACAATCTACTAGAAAAAAAACTATTAAATATCTAAATAAATGTTGAGTGCTTGGCAGAGTACTCTGTATTCTGGGAACCTTCAATCGATATTGACAGGACATAATTGAAAACCATACTTAAAATATGAAAATTCTATACTTAAGGAGAGCAGACTGTCCCTAAATTAAGAATGTGTTCCAATAGGGGGTTGGTTGCAATGCAGAATCCTTTTCCTCTGTTTAAGAATTTTGAAAGTTATAAATCATGGTCTGAGGCTCAGATGCTGATCTAATCCACCCTGTATTTCACCAGTTCTAATATTAGTCCTACTCCTTGGGCTCTCCAATCAGGGATCACTGCTAAAGGCCTGTGAAGAGACATCCAAGTGACCCAGGAGAAGAGGGCTGGGGGCCCTCAGGTCCCATAGCAGGCAGGCTGTGCCAGCTGAGGTGAGGCTGCCGGCCTATGTGTGCTTACAGCCTGCTGACAACTGGAGAGCTTGATATTTTATTTTAAAGATTCAATTAAGCTCATTTTACATCTTTACTTAATGTGTTGGCTGTTTTAAACAAACCATTTAGCTGATATGTATGTAGTCACAGAACCATAAAGTTATATTTTATATATTAAGATAATATATGCTCTAGGTACTTTCTTCCACTGACATATTTCAAGTGCATGAATTAAGCACTTAAGAGAAGCCCTGAAATACTGTCGAACGATGACGCATGGAGGAGATTGTAATCATTGCAATGAAACAACGAGAGTAAAACCGATGTTCTCCCATGTAAACTATCACTCAATTCACAATAAATACTTACATGTATGTATGTATATATATACATATAATTTGTTGTTTTTTAAAAGAGGCACCCTGGTGGTGTAGTGGATTAAGCTTTGGGCTGCTAATGGCAAGGTCAGCAGTTTGAACCCATCAGCCATTCCATGGGAGAAAGATGAGGCTGTCTGCTCCCATAAAGATTTATAATCTCAGAAAGCCTACAGAAGATCGTTATGAGTTAGAATGTCACAAGAAATAGTTACAGATGAAACAGCTGTTACTTTTGGAAGACACAGAGGAAAATATACAGTGAGAAGGAGAAGTAGCCACCGGAACATTATTGGTATGTCTGGCTTATACCCAAAAATAGTACTTATGAGTACATATGTATACACACATACTCATATATATATATATATATTTGTTGTTGTTGTTAAGTGCCATCGAGTCGGGTCCGACCCATAGCGACCCTGTACAGGGTTTCCGAGGGTGTAAATCTTTACGGGAGTAGAAAGCCTCATCTTTCTCCCGCATATACACAAGGGTAAATCAAAAAGTGTTACTACAGAATCACAGACCTCCATCTAGGTCTACATAATTCTCAGTGAGAGGTTTCCATCTATCTAGCTCTTCCCTCAAAAAATTCTGTGCTCTGATTTACACCAAGTCAATAGGGCAATTTGGGCATCCTCAAGGGAATCAAATCCTGTTTAAATTTTATTCTCTGGTTTCACTAGAAAAACATGGTGGCTCGGCAGAATAAGCACTGGATTGCAAACCGCAGCGTCACTGGTTTAAGCCCACCACCCAATCCAGACGAAAAATGAAGCTTTCTACTCACACAAAAATTTACAACCTCAGGAACCCACAAAGATTTACAGTCTCAGGAACACGATATAAGGTCACTATGAGTCAGAACAAACTCGACAGCATTTAACAACAACAACAAAAGGTCCACTAGAGATATTTACAGTTATACTAAATCATAAACTGAAGTCTATTTAAATGCATTAGTAGAAATAGTTAAAGGAATCTAATTTAATTAATATATGTATATGTCAATCTTACATTTAGGTATATTGTATTCTTAAAGTCAGACTTAAATTAGTAATATTTCCCATTGAGTTCTGGTAACAAGATCAGGGCTGTAGGGTTGTTGGGACAAGATTTCTTAATGAAATTCTCACAGTACAATCCTTGCTACCCTTAAAGAATGACCAGGTGCAATGTCGTTATGGGGGAAAAAATTCCTTGCCACAACTTTCCTGCAACTTTTCAGGGTAATCTTTAATTTTCTGGAAACTTCTTTATAATAAGCTTCTGTGACCATCCTGTGACCGTCAAGAAAATCTGTCAAGATTACCACTTTGGAGTTTCAAAAACCAGTCACCATAACTTTGAGGTGACCTTTCTGCATTGAATTTAACTAGCACTGCAGCTCCCCTAGGAAGCCACTCTTTAATTGAACCTTGTGTTTGAAGGCATTCTAAAGACATTGTTGTTGTTGTCAAGTGCTGTCAAGTCGATTCTGACCCATAGCACCCTAGTATAGGATTTCCAAAGAGCAGCTGGTGTACTTGAACTGCTGACCTTGCAGTTCCAACGGCTTTGCAGTCTGGCACGTTAACCCATAACACCACACCAGGACTCGAGATTAAGACAAGTGTATTACTGAGAGAACTTGTCTGTAGCCATCCACTGATCAGAGACTTGTTTAAACAGGTTTTGTTTAAAATAAACCCAGGCACGTGTGAAATGGCACCCAAACAGCAATACTTTTGGCTTATCCTTGTACATATACACACATACTACTCTTTTACCACAATAATCATAAACCATTTGGAAATTATAATTCCTCAAATAAATTTACATTCAGTATCAATAGTGGAAACCTGTTCTTGTCCTTGAAAAGACCACTGAAAGAATATTGAGCATTTCCATAGTCATATACTAAAAAACACATCCATAAATAAAAGACAATGAAAAAGAACAAGAAAGGCAATGTGAAAAATAAAATTAGATCAAAAGCATAGAAATGTTTACCTCCAGATACAACAGCACTTTCTCCTGGATGTTGAGTCCATACTTCCCTTGTCTCTATTTCTTCTGTCTGAATGTCTCTTTCAACATTATCATCATTATATTGAACATATGCCTTAAAAACAAAGGAATGTTGCTTACCAAAGGACTTCATCAACAAAGGGAAGAGACAATCCACAGATTAAGAGAATATTTGGGGGGAAAAGATATTTGAGATCCAAAAAACATAAAAAACTCCTACAACTTAACAACAAAAAGACAAACAACCCAATAAAATGGGCAAAAGACTTGACTAGATAGTTGACCATGGAGGATACACAAACAGCTGGAGTCCTGGTAAGGCACTGTAGAATCCGCACTGGACTGACTAAGAACCACAAGGTGATTCACAGTCCAGTGCTGCTGGGTTCACTTGCTGTTCCATGGAAACCCTATACAACAACAAACAAGCACATGAAAAGGTGTCCTACGTCATCAGCCTCTGGGTTCTTATTGGCTGCCATAAGTTGGTTTTGATACACAGTGACCCATGTGACAGAGTAGAACTGCCCCCCAAAGGATTTTCTTGACTGTAACCTTTATTAAAACAGAGCACCAAGTCTTTCTCCTATGGAACTGGTGACTAGTGGGTTCAAAGTGCCAATCTTTTGGTTAGCAGCTAAGTGCTTAACCATTGTGCCACCAGGGCTCCTTCATTAGCCACTAATCATTGTTGTTATTAAGTAAGTGCCGTTGAGTCAGTTCTGACTCCTAGTGACTCAATTAACCATCAAAGATCTGCAATTCAAACCAAAATAAGGCACCATCCCAAACTCCCACTAGAATTTGTTGTTGTTAAGTGCCATGGAGTCAATTCTGACTCATAGCGTCCCTGTAGGTTTTCCAAGGAGTGGCTGGTGAGTTTGAACTGCAGATCTTGTGTGGGTATGACAGAATAAATTTTTAAAAGGAAAATAACAGTTCCTGGTAAGGTAAGGAGAAACTGGAACCTTCATCCACTGTTAGTGAAACTGTAAAATAATGCTACCACTGTGGAAGAATTGAAAGCAGAAATGTAAACAGAAAACTTGTACAATGTTCACTGTGGCACTCTTCACAACAGACAACAGGGGGCAACAATAGCAACGTCCATGTACAGATGAATGCATAAACAAAATGCGGTGTGTGTGTGTGTGTGTGTGTGTGTGTGTATATATTTGTATGTGTGTATACATACATACACATAGTGGACTATTACTCCATAAAGAGAAATGAAGTCACGATACATGCTACAACATGGATAAACCTTGAAAACTAAATAAATGAGACTGAAATGGGCAAATCCTGTATGATCTCACTTAGATGAAACAGGGAAACATATAGAAAATAGAGCTTATTATTGGTTACTAGGGAAAAAGGGGCAAAGGGGGTGTTAACTGGTTAGGGAAGTGGAATCATCTGGAAGAGTGGTAGTGGAATCATCTGGAAAAGAATAAAGATAATGGTTGCACAGCATGAAGAATGTAATCAGTGTCACTAAATTACACATGTAAAATTTGTGGAATTGGCAAATGTTTTCTTATGTATATTTTTATCACAATTTAAAAAGGTATATTGGTATTAACCTTTGGTCTCAAATTCAAAGCAACTTCTCTTTACTGAAAATAAAAACAAAAAAAATGTTAAAGCTAATATGTGAGTCTTCTTACTGGTCTTGAAAATGTCATGTCATATTTAGTAATCATACAAAAAGTGCTTCTACAAAACTTGGTAGATATGTAGTTGTTGCTGTAAAGTGCTATCAGTCAACCTGCATAGGGTTTCTGAGGAGCAGCGGGTGGGTTTGAACTGCCAGTGCTTATCTTATAGTGCCACACCAGGACTCCTTTCATAGATATAGGACTTAATTTTCAAATGTGTTTTTAAAAAAGTCAAATCAAACAATTCCTACCCACATCCTAGTCTCATCCCCTACAATGACTTTGCAAAACCAACCCACTTTTTTTCTTCAAAAGGGCAGGTTCTTTTTCTAAACAACAAATTTATAATGTAATACAATTGAGTGGTATTTTTTCGTTCAAAAATTGCATTTCCCTGAAAGAAGCTGATTGCATAACAACAGAAATATGTCAAAGTTGTATGAGTCACACATTTATAATGTCGTAGTCCACAAGAAACATCACGAGGAGTAAGCAATCTGAAGGTCACTTCCTAGGCTGAACGTATCAGAGGCCCTCAGTCTGAGCCTCCGACTTTGAACAGCTGCCCCATCACACTCCATAATGCTTGTTGCCTCCACATTTGGCTGTTTCAAGACTATATTCCTCTCAAGAGGATCAAAATGTAGGACTGAGGTAAAGGGCTAATAACATGGAATTTTTCTGTTGGCACAAAAGATATACATGAATTCTTTCCAAAACACTGGTATAGGAGAGAGCTTCAAAAAGTTCATGGAATTAAAAGACAATAGATTTTCTCCACAAATTTTTTGAAGCCTCCCTGGTATTTGACAGGATGGGTCAGTCATACATTCATAATACCGGCAGAATTCAGAGATGGAGAACACAGATAAACTATTGATACATATGTTGCCAAAAGCACCTTTGTCTCTGCCTTCTTTCTCTTGTTGTTGTTGTTATGTGCCGTGGAGTCGGAACCGACTCATAGCGACCCTGTACAGGGTTTCCGAGGGTGTAAATCTTTACGGGAGTAGAAAGCCTCATCTTTCTCCCGCGGAGCAGCTGGTAGTTTCGAACTGCTGACCTTGCGGTTCACAGCCCGAGTCGTAACCACTACGCTACCAGAGCTCCTTATGCCTTCTTTCTCTAGCACCACACCAATTCAAGGTTTTATGCCTCCAGCAACTCTTTGTTATGTAAAGAAAGCTTTGTTACTAACAGCTTTGAGATGAGAAAACAAGCAGGAGACTAACTAGGCCATTCAAGGTCACAGAGTGAGTCAGTTGCAAAGCCAGAATTAAAACTGTCAACTTCCTGAGTTTCATACTGTCACCTCTTCCTATTTAAAGGAGTATTCCTTTCTGCATGCATCCAACAGATCATGTTACCATTGAACTTATCATGTTAAGTTAAGAATGTTTACATTTCTTATCAGAGACGTAAGAAAAATGTAAAACATAATTCTTGACTTTAAAAACATACAATCTTGTTGGAAAGTTGGACTACCAGTCACTGGAAGCCCAATGGTATTGTTGTCAATTGTTGTTGACTGAATTCTGACTCAGCATCCCTGTATAGGGTCTCCAAAGAACGGCTGGTGGGTTTGAACCATCAACCTTGTGGTTAGCAGTAGAGTGTTTGTCCTACAGTGCAACACCAGGACGGATAGGGAAGTACAAAAATGGCGAGGGTTACATTGTAGAAACTCCGGAATACGAGACAGATCATACGATGTGAATGATTTACAGAGAGAACGGGCCTTGGACTTTGAGGAACAGACAGGTAAGCTGATAGAAGGGAACAGGAGAGCATATACAAGGGGAGAGGTAACATTGGCACATCGAGAGACCACTGAGAGAAGCGAAATGCAGAAACAAACAAGATATGATGGGATACGAAGGTAGACCCAGATTAGGTAGAGCACTAGAATATAATAAAAGCAGTAATTCTATAAAAAGTGTTTGGCGATTCTTGAATTATAAGAATTCTATACAGATGAGTAAAATGGCTACATCCTCATCTGGAAACCACAGAAACGTGTTTGAAATAACGTTTGACTTTAAATAAAACAAAGCTGAATTCAAATGCTAGGAATGTAGCCCCGCTATCTGTAGACCATTACATACAGATCACTTATGGATGGTTCTAAACTATGTAGATTTCTCATCTGCAGCATCTCTTTGGGTTAATGAGTATCGTGTGATGAAAAGATGACCCTTCTTTATTTCAAGCCCTTATCCTTCACAGACCATCCCCAAACTCAAATAATCTGGAACAGGATACAGTTGAGTACAAATTTACTTTATTACATTTTAGGTGTACTTTATCACTTAGTTAATAAATCTTGTACTAACCTGCTTGGTATTTTTTTTCCCAAAGTTTCTGATATACATGTCATACTCATTTACAGGAGGCAGATCCAGAAGAGAGAAGGTGAATGAAAAATCTAAGTCAATAAGCCGAAGTAGTTTTGTACTGCGTGTCCTTTAAAAAAAAAATTAGAAACAAGACATAAATTAAATTAGGTAACATATATATAAGGGAAGTTGTATGGGAGAGAACAGTAGGAACCTTGTGGTTGTTGTTGTTAGGTGCCGTCAAGTTGGTTCTGAGTCATAATGACTCTGTATAGTGTTTCCAAGGAGCAGCTGGTGGGTTTGAACTGCTGGCCTTGCAGTTAGCAGGCCAGTATTTACACTGCAGCATTATTATTAGGGAACTAGCTATTGTGTGGATTATATTTGAGATATTTCACAAACTAATAAAATTAAAATTAACTAAATAAACAAAAGGCATTTATGCCTGGGCCAAAGATGAGAGAGTTCATTTAAAAATTTGCCTATTCCCATTCAGCACACCCGAGGTTAAGGATCTCACTTAGATGAAAAAGGCAAACAAATAGAAAAAAAAAATTCTTTGTATTATTTTCCACTTTACACAATTTTCTTTAATTTTCAATTTTAAGTTACGTTTTCTCTTGGGAATTGAATTTCTAGAACTAACTAACCAATATTCAGGCCAACTTTGGGAACTTGGATGGCATGCCTCTACAGTGGAAATCTCTCTGAAATGGTTCTATTTCAAGCTTTCTCTGCATATAATTAGTTATTTGCTAGAGGCAACATGTTTAGATTCGTGTCAAAACAAAGTGTTAACACAGGAACCTGCTACCCTTTCTAAAAACAGCTGTAAACATCAATATCTAGGTTATGTAAGCAGCCACACTCAAGGGCAGACCGCATACAGAAATATATGATGTCTGCTTTAGATTTAAAGCTGCCTGACACATGAAGCCAACCTAACTATGGGCTTTATGTATGGAGTGCCTTTGGATGTGCCTCAAATTTTCATGAAAAGTAATTTACTTTGATTTAAGGAATTAATATAATGAAATCTTGGCCGGAGGATGAAAATGATCTGTCCCCTGAGCAGTAGGTAGCACAGTGTTTCAAGCATAGCCTTTGCCTTTTCAGACTCTACTTTTCTTGAGACTGTGTAGTTGTTTTTGGGTGTTGTCAAGTAAATTCCCTGATAGGACAGTGCAGAGCTGCCTCCTAGGGATCTTTGTGAGAACATAATGCCAGGCCTTTCTTTTTGTGGAACTTCTTCTGGGTTCAAACTGCCAACCTTGTGGTAAGCAGCCAAGTGCTTAACCACTACACCACCAGGGCTCCTCTTGAGACTATAGTAAAGCTTTTCATTTCCCACAGAACTGTGACCTATGAGCTACCCTGGACACAGTTACCCAGCACTCCTACTAGATTTGATGTTCTTTTCTTAGCTTCAAAACCACTACATTCACTTGGTTTTCCTCCTGACTCACAAACTGTTCCTTTTCCATCACCTGGTGACTGCTTTTCATTCAGATACTCTTTAACACATTTATTTTATTCTATTAATTTATTATCACCTCCCTCCCTTCCTCACTAGAATGAAGGACAAATATTTTGATTTCATTTACTCCTATTTTCAAGGACCTAGAAAGCATCTGGGGTCCTGGTGCTATGCTGTAAGATAAGCACTGGACTGCTAACTGCAAAGCTGGTGCTTTAAGCCCTTACTGGGTCACTATGAGTTGGAACTGACTCAGTGGCACTAACAACAACAACAACAACAAAAACGCTTAGCATATAGTTGGTACTCAACAAATACACGCTAAATTAAGTAATGATCCTTTAAACATCCAGGTATTTCAATAACTTGGTTTGTTCTCTTCTGTTACTTCTTTCCTTCTTTCTCCAACTTTCAGTTGCAACCTTTCCATAACCTTACTCCCATGCTGCCATTTACTATCATTCCAATTTATTATCTTGGGTGGCACAGTGGCTAAGCATTCAGCCACTAACCAAAAAGTCAGCGGCTCAAATTTACCAGCCGCTTCAAGGAAGAAGATGTAGCAGTCTGGGTCCCTGGCAGTTTACAGTCTTGGAAACCCTAGAGGGGCAGTTATACTCTGTTTAATAAGAGTCGTTATGCGGGATGGGTTTAGGTTTTGTTTTGTTTTGTTTTAGTCCTACAATAGGCTAATCCTATCACACCCTCATTACTGTGTGGGGTGTGAGATAGGAATTCAGGTTCATTTATTCCCACACATCTATCCAATTTTCCCAGAAGCATTCTTTGAAAAGACTATGCTTTCCCTCACTACACACCTATGTTGTAAAACAGGTGACCATACATGTACACATTTGTGTCTGGACTTGACTATAAATTTATCTGTTTGTGAACCTTATGCCACTTTGTGCCAATAACACACTGTTTTAATTACTTTAGCTTTTCAATAGGTCTTGACACCTGAGATGAAATCCTCTAACTTTATTGGTGCTTTTCTTCTTTCAAGATTGCTTGTACTATTCTTCACCATTTGTATTTTCATAGACATTTAAGAATCAGTATTTAACTCATACACACATACACACATACATGCTGCTAAGATTTCTATTGGAACTGCATTGAATCTATACTTACTACTATAATACTTATTTGGGGGAAAACTGACATTTTTATTAAGACTTGCAATTCATAATTTCTATCCATTTTATTGAAGTCTTACTGAATTTCTCTCAGCAGTATTTTTTAAGTTTTCTATATTGAAGTCTTATACATTTTCCGTTCCATTTATTCTAAGGCTGTTATAAAAATTTACAAAAACTTTAATTTTGTTCATTGGTACTATATATATGTTTGATTGCTGTACATTGACCTCTTATCCAGCACCCTTGCTAAATTAATTCATTATCTCATTTATTTGTGAATTCTAATTAACTTATCTGTATTCTTTTATTTGCATTACATATCCATGTGAATAACATATAATAGTTTTATCTTTCGTTCAAATCCCTAAAATGTTCATTTCTTTCTCTTGCCTTATTGGAATTGGTCAGGATATCTATTATGTTGAGTAAAAGTAATAATAGTAGATATCTTCATCTCATTCCAGATACTAAAGGAAAAGATTTAACTAGTAGGCATGATGTTACTTTATCTTTTATCAGATAAAGGGGGTTCCCTTGAGTACTGGTATGGCACTGTAGGATAAACACTGGACTGGTAACCAGAAGGCTGGTGGTTTCCGCCCACCAACTGCCTTTGGAAACCCTTACAGGGTTGCGATGAGGCAACTGACCTGATAGCATTGATCCATAATTCTGCATCAAAGTCATTACCAAATTTTGGTAGCAATGTTTTACTACCTAATGAAACAAGTTTGAAAATGAGGTCTCTTTTTCTGCTCTCTGGAATTTGTAAAGACAGCAGTTATTTGTTCTTCAAATGTTTAGAAGAATTTACTAGAAAAGCCATTTACGCCTAGAGCTTATTTTGTGGGAAAGTTTTAACTTTTTCATTAAATATATTAAATAATATAGAACTATTCAAATTTTCTATTGCTTTTTAGAATTTTGCTAAATTGTGTTTCTCTGAGAGTTTATTCATTTCATCTAAATTTATACTGCAATAAAAATGTATATACTACTACTTCATTGTGTTTTAATGTTTTTGAGATCTATAATAATAGCCCCTTTTGCATTCTTGCTGTTGATTATTTTTGTGTATGCCTTCTAGCTTATATTTTTAAACCAACTACTAGGACTTATATATTTTATGAATCTTTACAGAATGAATTTTTAGCTCTACTGGATTTATTGTGACAGCTTTCAATTTTATTGGTTTCTTCTCTTACCTTTTATTATCTCATTCCTTTTATTTCTAATTGAACTTCCAGTGTGATGCTGCAGATCAGCACTGGACTGTGAACCAGTTCAAACCTACCAGCTGCTCTTCAGAAACCCTATACAGGGTCACTATGAGGCAGAACTGACTCCATGGCACTTAACAACAACAATTTCTAATTCCCCTTTTTATTTCTCCTTTGACTAGTTGTTTATTAGACACAATGCTTTATTTTCTAACTTCTGGGGATTTTCTAATTATTTTTTCATTATTGATTCCTACTTCAATTCCACTGTGGTCAGAAAATATACTCTGTATGATTTTAATCCTTTACTTAATATCATTGTTGTTGTTGTTGTTGTTATGTGCCATGGAGTCGGTCCCGACTCATAGTGACCCTGTACAGGGTTTCCGAGGCTGTAAATCTTAACAGGAGCAGAAAGCCTCATCTTTCTCCTGAGGAGCAGCTGGTAGTTTCGAACTGCTATCCTTGCGGTTCACAGCCTGATTCGTAACCACTACGCTACCAGAGCTCCTTATTTAATATCATAGTATATGATATTTCTGATAAAGGTTCCATGTACACTTGAAAAGAATATAAATATATGCAGGGCATCATTTTCTATGTGTGGCAGGGGTACTCTATTAATCAGGTTGCTAAACTCTTAAAGGTTGTCACCAAATTTTTGTTTACCTGTTCTGTCAATTACTGATACATTTAAGAGCGATATGTGATTGTGAATATGGCCATTGGTGTTTTTAAGTGCTGCTGAGTCCGTTCTGACTCACAGCAACCCCATTTTAGGATTTCTAAAGCTCTAAATCCTTTTTTTTTTTAAGTTTTTATTGTGAGTTGAGTGAAAGTTTATAGGACAGTTCATCAGTTTTACATTTAACAAATCATATACCTTACTTTATTACAATGATTATAATCCTATCCATGTACCATCAGATAATAGTATTTCTCTGTTCACTTTAGCTCTTTTCTTTTTAAAAAACACTCAGGCATATATAATAATTATACCACCAAAGGGCACAATCTGCAAGTCTGCCTCCTGGCTGCCAGCTCTTAGTCCCTTTCTTCCCATGAATCTAGAATCCTCAGCTGCTCCCTCTCTCCATGTTCCCATCTCTGCCTCCATCTCTGGTGTCACTGCTTCTCTGGACTCAGGTGTCCCCAGGTCTCACCTCACTTTGGAACAACCAGCCCTTCCTCTTCTCTCTCTCACATCCAGATCAACAGGAGTCTATAGAACATGGTTGAACTCTGCAGCCTATTTCTTCATTGCTGCCTTTCCCCCTCTTCCACTCAC